CGAGAATTTAACTTAATTACTCCACAGCCAATTCGTCTTGCCCAATATATTTGGTCTCATTGCTGACTCTTAATTCCGTCTAAATGTCGCATGATTTATTTAGCGATGGAATTTCTTCCATTTTTCACATTGTTCTGTAGGGCCGATTAGGTTTTGAGTGGTCTAACTTCGTTTTCGCAACTTGGTCGTGTTGTCGACGCGACCTAGTTGGGCGCGAACTGTCCGAAATCCTTTCCTACAGTCGATTCGGTAAGTCTCGGTTTCGGACCGTCTAGTTGCCACATTGCGAGGACTTCGGACATAGTGCACTCAACTAGATCGCCCTGACAACAAGGCAAATTTGCGTAAGCGAGTTCGGACAACTGATATACAGCCGCATCAATATACTACTTATATTCCGATCGAGTATGTTACGAAATTACCAGTATTTCTCGAATATGAGCTGTATTTACCTTCGGTCGTAAAAGGTGAGGAAAGACTGAAAATTCAGTTTTCCAACAATCATACGAGTAGATCTCAACTTCCGTTGTAGCTGGTATTTTGTTGTGGGAGTGTCGATGAAGCAAGCATATATCTGCTATTACAACGGACTAACTTATTAATTTTGTGGATGAGTATGTCTCAAAAACACTATTTGTTTAATTTTCCTACATTAATGTGAGTTGATATCTTGTATTTACTTGCTTTCATTTAGCCTTCTTTTATAAATAGAAATGTCTGTTTCACCTGAGACCTAGATTTAATAAATTTCTTATTAAAAAGCTACTGGTAATTTCGAAACCTATTTACTTAGACTGGTGAGGAGTAATGTCATAGCTAATAACAAGACACGTATAGACACGATGAATGTTTTAGGTTTCGATGAATCTCCTAAAATAACATTGATGGTAAAACTTTCATTTCGTATGAGGGTGCATGAAGAAGAGATTAGAAATTCTCTAGTTTTGGGTGAAAACTGACTGAGATCTCGTCCATTATATGATAGACCTAATCAGAGTTTGAATCCATTCTTATAAAGGTCTCAAGTTAACAAACCTTCAGTCCGCAAAACCCTTCGGACCTAGCTTACGTCCAATGCATACTCATGACTGAAAAACGAAAATGTACAGACATAAATAGATATAAAATAGTTTAGTTAATTATTTATCATTTTCGCTGCTTGGTTGTGCTTATTTGAACATTATTGCCCGAAGTTCTCCGTTATAGTGGTTACCATGATTTCCAGCTTCGGGCCATGTACTTGGTACCTTCTCAGACGTTTCTCCGGTATCGTATTCGGCATCCTCAATTCTCAGCACCAAGCTACAACTCGTCAAAGAGACAAATGAAATCAATCCATTGACCAAACTTTCTGCCGAAACAGTTGTGCTATCGTTCCTCTTTCTGTCCTAGCCAATCTATCTACCCCTTGTACTCTTATAACACTCCCGTCCTATCACAGCTTCCCATCTGGATCTCCCTTATGGTGCCGTAGAGCTGTTTCTCATCTTTCCGACTGACCAATTTCACTCCGTTCCAGTCCAAGCGTACGTTTTACTACAGCCTCTTCCAAAGCACATAACCATGCTTTGAGAACCCTAGACCAAACAGAGTCAATACAGCTCTTCTATTTATAGTGCGACCTTCGAGGTGACAGAATTGTCATTCCTTAAATCATTCTTAGTGAACCAGGATTGCTAATTCATTCTCCAAGACCTACTGTTCTTTTCTACATAACATGTAACATGAAACTCGTCTGCGTCGTCGGCATTTTCAGTCTGAATGCATATTGGGAAAACCCTGGCCTGCCTTGATAGTCACAAAGGCCCCCAACCAACTTGTTGCCATGGTTATTTAGGGGAGTGGCAATGTGAAAAGGATACGTAGATCCAGTAGGCCAAGATAAGGAATACTGGCTAATTGTACCAATTAAACGTGGCTAGAAGGAGGATAAGTAAAAATGCAAAGGCCTTCGGAAATTCCCCCAATAATTTGATGCAATGCTATTTGATAATTCGAAGGAAAAGTTGATTGGTAGGGAGTAGTAAAGTCACAGCAGCAGAAGCATAAAGAGGATTTTTCGTTACATTCTTAGAGTTTTTGAGACTACCAGTAAATCTGATATAAGATGCGTATACACTCAGATTTGGTCATGGTGAGGAAGGACTGTTGGTTGAATTCTCCCACAATTCTCTTATTTACAGGCCTAACTTTTCTACTGAATGTCGCATAGTTTTTCTTCACAAAAGTTATTCTCATCCAGTTTGGTCTGGACTGCAGCTTCCATCTCGCCTTGGTCAACTCAGCACCGTGCTAGTGCAGCGTATAAACTAAACGAGTGAGTAATTACGTTAAACTGACACGATTTCCATTGGTTCGCGGAGCAGCTGTGCACTTCAAGGGAGGCCAGGCATTTTTATATATCACAATTCTTTGGTGGTATTGCAAACGAAGCAAATTTGTATTTGCCATAGCAATCTACTATATTACTAATTTTTAATGTTATGAGTCGTTTTTTCGAGACCACCTACTAATTTGCTAAATAACAAATAAATTATGTTATCGATTGCTATAGCAAATACCACTCTGCTTCGTCGAAAATCCCATCACAGAACTATGATATGGAGCAATGTATGGTATTCCTTGAAATTTACATATACCCTGTGACGCAGCGGCACTTGTGGCAGTGTAGTGTACTGGTTCATCTTTCTGGATTATATGATGCACTGTCACGGTTCGAGTCCCGAGAGGTGAGATGGACGCTGCAGTCAAGATCAGCCTGGATGATCGAGAAGATAACATTGCTACGAGAAATTCGTTGGAAGAATGAGGCCTGTTTAAGGATTGTGGGAGAATTCAACTGGCATTTCTTTATCACTTTAAACGAAAAAGTGTGAATACTGCTATTATCGAGAGGAGAGTCTTGGAGTGGTGAATGTCGCGCAGTGAGGAAGTCCTTGTCTCACCGTCGAGCCAACCTGATTCATTCGGGCTGAGCATTCCTCTGTCCTGCCATGACAGACATTGTCAAGGCCGTTCAAATCACCTGCAATAAAGACCACAAATACATAAAACCCAAAAAGCTTTTTTGCATTAATGCGTTTTTTGTAAACGAGGCTTTCTGGCTTTTAAGTTGGCCATCACGGCAGGAGGGACAAAAGGTCAGCACAGTTTATGAGGAAATTATTTTTTCAAGGAATCTCTTGGCTTCAGTTTCGAGTAAGCATATTTACTGGAGAGAGTTGATTTTCCATTCCACCAGAAGACGACGGCTGGCTCCTCTTGGCCAGCTGTCGATTGGCTTTATTAAGACATTCTAGTTGACATGGTTTACGAGAAAAACTTAGTCAATTACGGTGAAAACATGCTAAGCCTTTGTCCGTCCTATGACGGACATCATCAGGGCAGGGTATCATCATCATAACCTTACTCAAGTTTAGCAGTCATAAAAACTTTCCCGCCCATCCCCAAATATTGTGTATATATATACCCTATATCTGTGCTTTTTTATACATCCTCAAGTATATATACAGGATTTAGGGATAAGAAGATAAGTTTTCTTGAAACTTAAGCTTGGCTAGGGCTGTTGAAATGGTGTCCGTCATACGACGAATAATAGCTAAGCACATTTTCACCGGACTCGAAGTAGATTGCTTCGGGGACAGCATCATCAAGCATGCTTCAGTAAAGCCAATCGACAGCTGGCTAAGAGGAGTCCGCAGTCGTCTGTTGGTGGGATAAACCTTAAAATTTCTTCGCAAGCACTTTCACTCGAAATGGAAATGAACAAAACAACATTATTTACTACTGGCTAGGCCTATTTCACTTTCCAGCTAGACAAATTCACGGATCTTGTGCAACAAAATATTTTTTCGAAATACACCATCGAGTCCCAACTCATATTTGTGTCAATCTTCATAACATTTCTCTGCTTGAAAGCACTATTTTGATGTCGAAATCACCAATGGGAATAAAAGCTCAGCCCCTAAAAGATGGCGAAGAATCGACTTTGGTAATGACTTTGACCGCATCTTTTATTCCGACGGTGCTTTTTTTCGAACAATTTCAGCTTCTCCAAAGTTCAATGAATATATTAGGAGTGTAGAAAAATTGGGTCTAAAAGAACCCATTAAGAAAATCATGTTGGAGTACCCTTCATTTAGTTTGAAGAAGCGAGTGGAAAGAATTTGTAAGTTTGTCTCGCCGGAAGCTGTAGAGTGGTTGTCTTAGAGTTATCATTGTAGATTTGTGTGAATCGGTCCTCGGCGCACCGTCCTGCGGCCCCGTTGGGTCCCAACCGAGCGTTTATCGTTCATGTGACGGAAAACATCAGAGCAGGACACCATGCTCGATTCACTAAAACACGAGACCAAGAAAGATGGCCGGCTTCAAACCTACTAACTTTGTCCACTCAATGGGAGATCTCATGAATTGGTTGGGTTTCCTGTGCTTTAAGTAAATGTCTGCTGAATAGTTAATCGTGAACGTCAAACGGATAGGGAACATTGTAGCAACAACCGGATCCCTGTTGGCTGCAGCAAAAATCCGAGCAGAAACACGCATACACACATGAATGCGAATACTTCAGCACACATACATGAATAAACACACACACACACACACACGCAAGACACACCAAGCAAAAACTGGAGCTAGTGAAGTCGTTCGGATCCATGATGGTTACGCTAAAAATTCATACAGACATGAATAAGCATACGTAAATAAATGGCAACATATCAATGCACAGACATGAGTAAATGCACACAAACACACACAACACGGAAAATGGAGTTAGTTAATACATTCGGGTCCATGATGTCCACGTTTACAATGAGTACAGAAAAAGATACACACAACTAAACGGAAACATATCAACTAACAGACATGAACAAATACACACAATCACAAACACCCGTACACGCACGCACGCATACGTATCAGCTAGTGCCCCAAATTTATTTTTATTGTTTACTCTCCATTTTGCCGTCGTGTCCCTCTGCAGACAGGAATTCCCACCTCTTCCCTTCGGCAGAGCCGGTTCAGTCTCGGCTATCCCATTCCACACCTTCAGCAGCCAAGGCCCGGCCGACGTCTGTCGAAACAGACCAGTCTGAAGCTTCTCATTGGCCAAGAAGAGATCCACGGATCAAGGTCCGAGCCGAGTAGTACCGGCGAGTTCGCCTGTCGGAGACGACCAGGCCGAACAAGATGTGTCTGGTCGAGTCATTCTGAAAAAGCTTCTAGAACTGACCCACATACGGATTTGCTGTGGAAACAGGCACAAGACAAAAGGGAGGGAAGGAGCAAGGTGAGCGTGAAACTGGTGGGTGCGGAGACGAGGCAAACGAGAAAGGTAGATTTTCCGTCTGATGAGAATATGGAAGAGGCAGGAGGCTCTGAATCGAGACCAGACAAGCACCATCAAGCGGATGAAAAGCAAGAGAACAAAGCGAACAGACCCAATAGACAGAAAAATGTTATCCAAAGGCACACGATCTTCAATAGCATCAAATCTCCCAGAGAATCCCAAGTCAGGGTAAGTCGTATCCTCCTAATCTTGCTCCCACGAATGAGTCAGACAGCAAATTGTGGAACGATAAAGAAGAGTCATTGTTGGATCTACACTTGTAATATAAATATTTAATATATTCTCCCATTTTAGCCCCATCACTAAATAGCTGTCATACTCAGGATCCAAGTCTTAGTTTGATTAAAAAAGCAAATTTATTGTTTCTACCTGGCCTACCTATAACATATAAGTATATAATAGAGTGTATAAAGGCCAAGATGGAGTAGTCTTTATTATAATTGTGGTCTCCTTTTGTTTCATGGAAGCGGATTGATTTCATTTTCCCAAAATGGTCGGGTTACCATGTCTACCTGAAATAACTTACCTCCTTTGGTATCCGTTGCAATAGTAGGCGTGGACTTGGTACATTTCTAGACATCCCTTTGAAAATGCAAGCAAGTTGCGAAAACGAGTTCAAACCCCTTTTTTAAATTATTTTCATAGTAAAAGTAGCTAACGTAATTATATGCCATAACGATATGAATGCAAAGGTTGGTAGACATTTAACGTAAATGCGATAATTGCTTGAGATCATCAAAATGATGTGTTACTTTCTCCATATTTTAATTTATTTCTAAACCGATAGCAGGCGTGGACTTGGTACATTTGTAGACATCCCACCAGCATCGCCAATTAGCTCATTCATGGCACCAAGTTACAGCGTATCAAGGAGACAAGTGAAATCCAACCCTTGACGACCAGAGCCTGACATTAGGCTTTTATAAACACTATGATTCAGAACCGGTATTGCGTATAGACGTTAACACACATACACACAGACACAATCAAAAATGACATAACCAATATAAAAGGTAATTAGCAATGCCATTCCACATCTATACCAATACAGATTCGTTTTTTCGTTAAGAGTATGCATAAGAGGTAAGATATAGTATGACAATCTTCTTGGCAATCTTGGTGTTAACTTGAGACCTGTACAAGAATTAGTTCCATCTACGATAATGCCCATTCTATGCTGGACACAAGTTCAGCACTTTTTTCATCCGAAGCGTTAGGGAGGATGTCTTGTGGACTGCGTCAACTTTAACTTCGTATTAAAGCCGAACGGCATCACACAACGGAAATCATCCCTCATTTTCTGGTGATATCAACCCACGAATCTCTTAATAATGTACTTTCATACAAAATGGAAGTCTTCTTAACAATGGTGGCTCAGGAGATTCATCGAAACCCAGCTACTCTCCGTACCTAAAAAGTAATTTACTTTCTCTGGTATCTTCTGTAATAGTAGACATAATGATTTTTACCTTCCGGTCGTGAACTTCGTACATTCCTAGACGTTATACCAGCATCGTCAAGAGGCTTAGCCATTCTAAGCACCAAGTTACAACTTGTTAAGTAGACGTGTGAAAGGACCACTTTTCTGCCGGACATTTGAAGCATCACTCTCTCTTCAATCCTGATACATCTGCCTACCCATCCCCCTTCTGGCTAGATATACCATAATGAAAAGGGGATTGCTGCCACAACTGTTGAATAGCAATTTGTTCAAGAGATCGACGTCATTTCGACTCTTTAACCAGTCATAGTTTGATGCTAGGAATTGGTGGGCTTATTGGTGAGGCCAACTAAGCTGCCGACGAAACGTCTGGGATAGTACCGAATCCCAGATCCGACGCTGGAAATTGCCGCGGATATAATGGCAGAGGACCCCGGACGAGGTGCATTCTCTTAGGTCTCTTTTGAAAATGCAAGCAAGTTGCGAAAACTAGTTCAAACCCCTTTTTTAAATTATTTTCATTGGTAAAGTAGCTAAGGTAATTATATGCCATAACGATATGAATGCAAAGGTTGGTAGACATTTAACGTAAATGCGACAATTGCTTGAGATCATCAA